TTATTGGCCTTGACATCCACAATGAACACAAGTGTGTTGTTATCTTCTATCTTCTTCATAGCTGACTCAGTGGTCAAGGGAAATTTGATGATGGCATAGTGGTCAAGCTTGTTTCTCCTGGGGGCTGTCTTCTGGGGGTGTTTGGGCTGCCGTCGGAGTCTCAGCATCTTAGGCTGCCGGAAGGTGGGTGATGTGTGGATCTTCTTTTTTTTTTTTTTTGGCTGTGGACACCCTTCAGGACGCCTTCTTGGCCTTTAATGCCTTTGCTTTGGCTTCAGTTTTGGGAGGGCCAGGGGCTTCCTTCTTGGCTTTCGGCGCCATCTTCGTTGAAAAGTCACTGTCCATTTTTTCTAGCATCCGCAGCAACTAACAATCCCATGACTTGGGTTAGGTGCAGTATAGCTCTCAAAGTGAAATCTTTCCTTTTGTCCATGTTTAGGAGAGCCATTCACAGCACGTTTCCCAACGCAATGACATCATTTTACTCCTTGACTGCTGTGTCCATGGGCATCAACTGTGGGTCAAGTGAAATGAGACCCTCGGGACTTCAATCTTTCTGTTTATCGTGATGTTGCTATTGGTCCAGCGGTGAGGATTTTTAGCCCCAAGTGTAATCCGTCATCTCCAAAGCTGTAATCTTTGATCAGTATGTGCGTTAAGCAAGCGAAGTCATGGCATCCGCATCCTTCATTCCTGAGCTGTGTTCTCATACTCCAGATTCTTGGATTAACGGTTCAGCATACAGACTGAATAAGTGCAGTTGAAGGATAAGATCCTCACATACACCTCTCCTAATTGTAAACCATACAAAATCCTCTTGTTCTGTTTGAAGGTCTACCTTTCGATCTATGTACAGGTTCCAAATAAGCACAACTAAGTGTCTTAGAATTCTCATTCTCCGTGAAATATAACAACTTGTTATAACCCTACAAAATCAAAGGTATTTGCATCTTTAATAAAACATAGGTAAACAGCTTCCTGGTATTCTCTGCTGTCAGTTAAGGTCCTGATGTCAGCAATGACACCCCTCATTCCAAGTCTCCTGAATCCAGCTTGGATTCCTGGCAGTTCCCTGGTGAGGTAATGTTACAACTGTTCTTGAATTATTTTCAACACAATTTTTCTTTGTGTGCTATTAATGATATCATCCTGTAATTTCCTCTTGCTGTTGGATGTCCTTTCTTTGGAATGGACACAAATCTCGACCTCTCTCAGGCAGGCGGCTAGGCAGCCTCCGAAAGCACTTCTAGCATTACACTCATTTGCTGACGCATCTCGGTGGGTCCTCCATCACCTGCTGAAGCCTCCCTCCTCACCCAGGCCGTCTCTGGAGTGTGGACTCCTTTCTTCAGTACTGTTAGGTTTTGATGATTAACTACTTCCTGAATTGGTTAAATGTCAACTAATTATTTTTTGTATGATTTTATATATATGCATATTTATATATAAATATATATTATATAATGATTCTGTGTATGCTTTCAATTATATTTTGAAGCATTTTGCATAATTCAGTATTTTTCTCAAAGAACCCACTAATATTTCAATTTGAGGCTTGGATTTGTCCTTCAGTTCTCCCGTCTTGAGAAATACCAAACATGTTCTTCTCTTTTAATTTTCTTTTTTTAAACTTCTGGTCTTTCCACATTTCATTAGGATACTTTGTTTTCATGAACGGCTTTTTGAAATCTTCTATTCAGCTCTTTTAGCATCCCCTCCCCGGCTCCATTCTCCACCATATCAATACACCGTGACTGAACAATCAATCAGACTGTAGAATTCGGTAAAGAAATGCCAGTTTCTTCATCTTTCGTATTAGTGGTCGGTATTTGATGAATCGTCACAGTAACAGGCCTTCCTCGTAGATACGAGGGTCACTCCGTCACACACAGCCGAGTCCTTCAGGATGGGTCCTCAAACATTCTTGTAGATGATTCAAGTGTCATGACTCCTCTTCAGTGTGTCATTCCTGGAATTATTATGACCACATGGTGTCCAATCCCAAATGGCCAACACCAATCCATTTCCGTTCTCTAAGCGGAGGACACTAATCTTTATGTGCTTCATTTCATTTTCTCATGACTTGCCACTTTCTTAGGTTCTTACGTCATTAATTTCACATCCCACTCTTTGCAACTGTTTCTTTTTGAGTTATGGGTATGGTGGTGGTGGTTATGGTAGTGGTGGTCGTGGTGGTGATGGTTGTGGTTATGTGGTAGTTGTTATGGTGATTGTTTATGGTGGTTGTGGTGGTAGTGGTTATGGTAGTGGTGGTGGTGGTGGTGGTTGTGATGGTGGTGGTTTTTATGCTGTTTGTGGTGGTTGTTATGGTGATTGTTTATGGTGGTTGTGGTGGTGGTGGTTATGGTGGTAGTGACGTGGTGGTTTTTATGCTCTTTGTGGTGGTTGTTAGGGTGATGGTGGCTGTTATGGTAGTGGTTGTGGTGGTTGTTATGGTGATTATTTATGGTGGTTGTGGTGGTAGTGGTTATGGTGGTGGGGTGGTGGTGGTGGTGGTTATGGTGGTGTTGGTTATGGTGGTAGTGACGTGGTGGTTTTTATGCTCTTTGTGGTGGTTGTTAGGGTGATGGTGGCTGTTATGGTAGTGGCTGTGGTGGTTGTTAGGGTGATGGTGGCTGTTAT